CTTTTGGTGCTGTTGCTTCCTCTCCCAGTCTAAGCTCTGCTGTGTGGCAACGGCAAGAAGCTGATACCAAGCCAAATACATGGACTTACACTGATTACTTAAAATAAAATAAATATGAATGTGTATTCATGAACACAGAGCTGCATTCATTTGTGCCTTTTGTATCTGCTTGTAGTTCATCTTTAATCTGTATGCACATGTATTTCATATACTTACAGGAATAATAAATAAATATATTTATTTATTACAGGTATTTATACAGTAAAGCACCAACAATTTATGCAGCCCCTTACATTGCACATTCACATCAGTCCCTGCCTTCAATGAGCTTACTATCTAAGGTCCTTATCTTACATGCATCCTTGCAGCAAGTCTTTGGAGTGTGGGAGGAAACTGGAGTACCTGGAGGAAACCCACGCAAGCACATGCAAACTCCTTCATGATGTCCTGACCGGGATATATATATATACAGTCATGGCCAAAAATATTGGCACCCCTGCATTTCTGTCAGATAATGCACCACTTCATGCAGGGAATTGTTGCAATTACAAATGTTTAGGCATTCTCATGTTTATTTCTTTTCTTTGTCTTGGTATTACACCATAAAGTGGAGAAAAAAAGTAACATCTGACACATTCCACGCAAAACTCAAAAAAATGGCCTGGACAAAATTATTGGCACCCACAATTAATATTTGGTAGCACAGCCCTTGGAAAAAATAACTGAAATCAATTGCTTCCTGTGACCATCGATGAGTTTCTTACACCTCTCTAAAGAATTTTGGACCACTCTTCTTTCGCCAACTGCTCCAGGTCTCTCAGATTGAAAGGGTTTCTTTTCCCAACTGCTGTTTTGAGATCTCTCCACGAGTGCTCTATGGGATTTAGATCTGGACTCATTGCTGGCCAGTCCAGTACTCTCCAGCACTTTGTCTGAAACAATTTTTGCATGCTTTTTGACTTGTTTTGGGTCATTGTCAAAACATGGATGCTGCCATTTCTGATCTCCTCCTTATATCTGCCTTGCTCACCCTTTGGCTTCAATACCTTCAGTCGCTTAGCCAGATAAGGACTTTTGACTTTACCCTAAATTTCCTAATATGCATTCTTGTTTCAAAATAGTAAATCAGAAAGAACTGAAGCCAAAAAATCAGCATGACAGCCAGGCAATTATATTTTTCAAGAGGAGGTCAGCAATAATATTTCCCATATTACTCTTAAAAAAGGTTTAATTTAATGGAATAATACACGCAATGGAGGAGCACTGCATGGGTACTTCTCGCGTCACCTGATAATAATTATAATACTTTTGGATATGCCACTGGATGTGAAAGAAAAGAAAACCCATTTTTGCACTGAATTTCTGTCAACCCAAACAACTTGGATAATAACTATTATACAATACACAGCATATAATTTTTTATTCAAATTTGCCCCATTACAGAACTTCTTGGGCTAAATAATGCCACTAATCTAACTCAACAAATTAATTGTGGTTTATCTGCTAAAGGGATAGAGTCAGTTTACGTATTGCAACAACTAAAAATGAGAGATGGGGTTTTTAAGGTGTCATTTACCAAGTGCGAAGAGACCCAGTTCAACGTAACACAAAAGTCATATATTTATATTAAAAATATAATTTAATTGATAAATAAAACAGCATGATTACCGTATATACTCGGGTATAAGCCGTCCCGAATATAAGCCGAGGTACACAAAAGTATGATCAAACTAACATATATCGATTGATTGCAGCAAATGGCACAAAACATCCCTTGAGCACACATAGATAAATACTGTTTATACAATAATAACCTATTAACATTTTCTCCTTAATATATCTTCGTCTATTATCATAGTGGTCATAATGGTCCAAAAGTACTCAGTAGTTCTATCATGTGTCCAGTTTTCTACGTGTTTCGCACATGGCTTCATCAGGAAAAAAGAGGTACCACAT